GATGATTTCGTTCTTGTTTTGTTCATGAATTGTTTATACTTTGGGAGTATAATGTGACATATAGTTAAAACTTAAAACGGAAGAAAAGCGAGTAGGAAGCTGACACAACTGAAACAAATCTATATATTTTACTGTGTTAAACACCAATGCAGTGCCCATGTGGGTTGGGCAATCTATTAATTAAAAGGTACAATGGCGTCCATATAGTGTGAACTGCGCATACAAATGAAGCGTTGTGCGTCGAGGTAAAATCTTGAATCATAACACATGTAGCTTAGATCGACCGGAAGATTTAAAATATGTACAGACCAAAGTATTGCACTGATCAATACTTCATCTGTGTCACACGTTATCAAACTATATTCAGGGTGTCCTGAAAGAGCGCAGTAGTTGTGTTCCACATTTTCCGACAGCTAACACAGTAAGCATAAAAAATTTAATATAAGGGTTTGAATTTTACTTATTAAGATTATTAAAATTGGCTAGTATACGACCAACGTTATGGTTGACCTATTGACCCATTGGAATGATGCATCGGTTGTGTCTTATCAATTTACTAATTTTATAATCTTATTTTGAATTATTAGACAAAATGGCGCTTATTATCTTTGCGAATCAGTGAATGTATGATTCTGTCAACATATAGATACTAATACCCCCCCCCTGTGAAAAAATCCTACATACGGCCCTGGTAAAACTACACCAATTTATGTAATAATCCTAGTGTCTGAATTCACTTCGTATTTCTTTGGCAAAATTGAAAATTTGTAAGAATGTAGCGTATAGTTTTTAAAATATTTCGAGTATATTTGCCCGATTATTTTAAGGTGTAGCGATCTATAATTTGATCTCCTTGCCATTTTTAGGAATAACTGTAAGTTTTCGGTCTGGTGGGTCACAAATAGGAATAATTCGTGTAATGGCGCCAGCAATCACAGAATAAAGATCAGTAAAAGAAGGGCGACTCAGCGGTGCAACGTGTCCTCGTTTTTTAATGCAAAAATATGCAGTTTACTGGTCAGAAGGCGGAGCAGCCAGCCAGTACAGCGTGTTTATTGGCCAGAAAATGTCATTGACTGGCTAGGAAAATGACGGCCAACATGCGTAATGTGACATGCGCGAGGACAGAAACTTCAAAGCTTCCGACGTAAGTGGCCCTTCTATATGGATCTTTATTCTATGCCAGCAACATTGGATCAAAATTCAAGTGGCGAATGCTTTTTACGGCAATTTTGTAAACCATCAAAACGTATGGGTAATTTTGCCTCTAAATTAACATGCAAACCAACAATCATATGCAAGAAAAAGCAATCGTTTGTAGATCTACAATAATTCGACAAAAACCATGCCGAAATGAAATAAACGTCGCCAAAATGTAATTTTAGGAGTGAACAGCGCGGCAGAATCTTGGGCTTTACACCTCCACTTTCTATGAATTCCTTAGATTCTTGAAAAATATTCTTTCTGTTTAGTAAAATTTCCTAAATGTTTCACCAAATATTTTTTGTTGTTTTGAATGCTTAGGGTACATTTTCTAAACTTTTTGGACATTTATAGTAAAAGTAACATCTGATTTGATGGACTTTGATAATTAATTATGCTAATATACTTATTATTTCCTGCCATTATTTGCCAATATTCGATGCATTTAATTTTTGTTATGGACCTCGTACTGATTCTCTTTTTCAATCCCATTTCTGACAAAAACTCTTATATTAAGTCTTGCACCAACAAACAACTTCATATAGAGACATAAACAATCAAAAGGCGCAACCTTAATCTCAATCACGTACATGCACGATTACATTTTTTTCAGAACATCGCTTATCCGATAGCCCCAGTGGTTATAACGCTTAATAGAGCGTCTAGGTAGTTAAACACTCACATCTGTGTGCTTTAAATTGGCAAATGTATCCATAGCGGGTGTTACATTTGGTGTCATTCCATTTTCCTTTCCCTGCGCCCTTCGAATACATATGGGCACAGTTTTCATTCCCAGAATCATTTGGCTCGCCCGCATTCCATCTTGTGAAACTTAATGCTTTTCCACAGGTATTATAGAATTTCGCATCCTGTCGTCGTCTGCAAAAAAAATTATTGCAAAACACAGTTATGCCACATTAGTACTAATTTTCGATTCCATGGTTGAGAATTAAGCATATACTTAAAATGCACCTAACCTCGATTCTTTTAATATCTCATGCCGAAGATTGGAAGAATCTTTGAAATGATATTGCAACTTATTTTGAAGATTTTCGTTTGCACACTTTCAGTTTTATTGATATGCAAATGTCCGCAATTTACGTCGCATATGAATAATGACTGATCAAAGAATGTAAGGTACAGTTAAATATCATGAAAAAAGGCTAAATGGTGCTTTAGCTACATAGGTATGTAATCGTCCCACAAGAATCGTCCCACCTGTACCTCAAGGTACAGTTCTTGGCCCCTTCTTATTTTCGTTCATGGTCAACGACATTGAAGCCAAACATCCACAAACGAACAATTTGGTCAAGTTTGCAGACGATTTAACAGTAAGTGTTCCTGTCATATCGTCTGGTGACGCGGCTTTGGACGAGGTAACTAACATTGAGAGTTGGGCAAGCAACAATAGAATGAAACTCAACTTTAAAAAAACCTGGCAAATGTTACTATGTACTCGTTCACCTGCCATGCCTCCCCCCCCCCCCTTTATTAATGGAATACGACTTAAAAAATGGTTAGAACTACTTGGTGTCACCTTTCAAGAACACCCACGTTGTTAGGACAAGCAGGTAGATAGCTTGTTGTCAAAGGCAGGAAGTCGAATTTACATCCTGAGAGTTTGTAAATTCTACGGATATTCGCTAAATGAACTTACTAAATTGTTCGATTCATTGATCCTGTCGTTATTTTACTATGCAATTGAAGTATGGGGATCGGCTTTGCAAGCAAAATACATTGATAAATTCAACAAGTTTCTCAATCGTGCATTCCGATATGGATACACTCAAAATAAATATTCAATGGCCAAGATGATTGAGGAGAGGGATCGATTATTGTTCAATAAGGTCATGCACAATCCTGAACATTGCCTACATGAGTTGTTACCAGAAGAACGTCAACGACCTTTAAGAGAACGCGATCATCAATTTATGTTACCAAAAGTTAATTTACACAGAACGTTTTAAACGATCATCTTTGAACAAGTGTCTTTTTAATGACTTTTAGCTTTAAAATTTCGTTATATATATATATATATATATATATATATATATATATATATATATATATATATATATATATATATATATATATATATATATATATATATAGATAGATAGATAGTGGTTTTTGACTTGTTTTCAGACGAGTGTATACCAAACCGGGCAAGCAGAAAATTCTACTTGACCGCGGCTGGGATTAGAACCCGCGACCTTCGTATTTATATTTATATATATATATATATATATATATATATATATATAAATATATATATAAAGTATTTTTTAGTGAATAAAAAATACTTTCCTACGGTGATTAACATATATAAAAATTATAAATGCCATATCGTGATGATTAACATATATACGGCTGAAGAAGACATGTTACTGTCGAAATGGTATCAGCAAATTCGGCATGGCTTTGGTGAGTGGCCATGTAGGCGTTCAGGAATTGTTGTGGCTGGTTGGGTTTGAATATACCATCGGGCTGGTAGCTCAGTTGGTAGAGCGATGGGCTTGTAACCCAGAGGTCGCCGGTTCGAATCCGACTTAGTCCCAACTTTTCCTGTTCACTAAAAAATACTTTCCTACGGTGATTAACATATATAAAAATTATAAATGCCATATCGTGATGATTAATATATATATATATATATATATATATATATATATATATATATATATATATATATATATATATATATATATATATATATATATATATATATATATATATATATATATATATATAGATATATAATATATATATATATATATATATAGACATATACATATAGATATATATATATATATACATATACATATAGATATATATATATATATACATATACATATAGATATATATATATATATATATATATATATATATATATATATATATATATATATATATATATATATATATATATATATATATATATATTTAACAATATGTTTATTCAGCTATTATTGTGATGCTGTACTCTAATTAGGTTGGCAAAAATCCATTGCAAAGCGCGGGAGCAGTAGCACTTCTTCTTGCTGTGAAAAACAATCCAAGCTCCGGCTTGATGGAAATAGAATTGATGGTAAGTTGTTTATCAATTAAATTTAAACGGAAAATATCAATATGTTTTTTATTTTCTCGTTTGAAAGAGCATTTAAAAGCATATGTTACGTCACAACGTCACATTTCGTTTCAGATAAATTAATATACTTAGGGAAATAATTGAAAATAATTTCCCTTTTCCCCCAGAATTTGGGCGTCGCTTTTTTCGCTCTAGGGGCGTCCCAGGACGCCTGGACGCCATTCTGGCTAAAAGCCTGGTTCTTCGTATTTCTCAGGATATAACGGTGAACCAGGAATTCCTCGCTTTATTGAAAGAAATCCAGGATGGTCGACCTGGTATCAAGATTTCACACGGTGGTTCTGGTGGTGCTAACGAGAAGCCTAAAGAACGTCCAGCTCCGATGAAGATCTTGAAAAACTACATCGAGAACAATCAAATGAGACTGTATGATTTCTTCTCCATGATGGACAAGGATAAAAGCATGAGTCTTACCATACAGGAGTTTGTTAATGGATTACAGGTTCGTTCATGAGAGAGAAATTTGGCGAATAAAGGAATACCTAATGGTTTTCCGTGCAGGATCGCGTGATCCATGCACGAGGGATGTCGCGAGACTTTCGGAAAGCGTGAAAATACTCGAGCCGCAGGCCAGTGTATTTTTACGCTTTCCGAAAGTCGAGCAACATCCCAAGTGCATGGATCATGCTATCCTGCTTCGAAAACCATTTGTTTTATAAAATAACTACTGTGAAACAATGACATTTTGAGAATCCCGCGAAGGCATTTTAATTCCTCGTGCAGGATAGCCTGATCCTGCACGTCTATTGACCGATCAAATTGCGTGTTTCACTGTAGTTATTATACAAATTGTTTTACTATACATGGGTGTGAAATGTTGGGATCCTAGGTAATATATTACTGTTACGTTTCAAAAAGTTTTTTCCGCTTTTTTGTCTGGAACAATGTCGGTTGAATTGGTTTTTGGAAAAAAATGGGTTTTTTTCCCGATATATCGATTAACCGCCTCACCCTAAGTCCAATGGAGTCAAACTGGGATGCCTTTTTTCACATGCGACCGAGGTGGATTTATAATCCTAATAACTGCACAGTGCAATCACAGAGGTGGACGACACGTGCATAAAAGGTTTATACTGATCTTTTTAGGAAACTGGGATACATATGAATGACTCTGAACTACTTGCGTTGGTTGAATCACTGGACAAAGATAACGATGGTGAAATTAATTACAGGTAATATGAATAAGGATAATGATAGAACGGATTGTTGATGGGTTTTGTGGATGAAAATTTCGAGCAAAAAATTTATATAATTATATCAGACGTGACCGAGTCGCGAAAAAAAAACCATCAGGGGTATTTTAGGTTTTGGGACTTGGGTGGGAGCTTCCCCCAAATTTCAGGGGTTTTTATTGGGGGGGGGGGGGTTCCCCCTTCTAGTCACAAACCCAGACATAATTTCCTACGCTCACATATTTCCAAGTGAGGGGACAGAAATGATGTCCGAGGTCACCAACTGCACCTGCAAGTGATCACCCATTTTTGTGCTCATGCAAGGTTATATGCCTTATCACTTGCCAGTTTAATATCACGCGTAAAATTCTCACATCTTGTAACAAGTCTGCCAACAAGCCGTCAACAAGATGTATTCGCACTGCTTGTCACATGTTGTCAACAGGTTTGGAACAACTTGTTGACAACTTTGTCGAAATTATCAGACTTGTTGCAAGGTTGTTTTGACACGTCCGTGACATGCTTGATATAACAAGATTGTTACAACCTTGTATTGACAACTTTGTAACATCCTTGTTATATCATGGCTGTAACAAACTTGTTAGCAGCACACACTTGTAACAAGGCTGATAATGCCATCAAGCTTGTTCCAAACTTGTTACAACAAACTGGGAACAAGCAGTGCGAACACAACTTGTTGACAGCTTGTGAACAGACTTGTAACAACTTTTACGTGTGTAATGAGGTAAACACAGCCTGCATGTACTCGCCCAGGTCTTGACTGAGGCTGTCACAAGATCGTATATGTTTATTACAGCGAGCTGATGCTTGGTTCGATTGAACAGAAGAAGGAAGATCGTAAACAACAGTTGAAAGATCAGGCGGAGGAAGAAAGACGTATTAAAATATTGACTTCTTAGCAAGACTCCAGCTTTCAGAAGTATATATAGTTGTAGAGGTAAGACACTTCAACGTTCAACCTGTTCTAAAATCTACCGATTTTTGTTAATTCTACCTGGAAATGGATCCACTGGGGGGGGGTTACAAAATTTGTATGCAGTGCCGTAGCCAGAACGATAATTGTGTGGGCAATATTCATATATTCGTGTTCACATACCATAAAAACAATTGATTTCAAAAGAAATTAATAAAGCAGAACACGAATATATGAATATTTGCCCCCCCCCCAATTATCGTTCTGGCTACGGCACTGATTTGTAAAGTCCTTGAATTTCTAAAGAAGTGCTTGAACGTCTTTGAATTTTACTCTCCCTGACTTGTACGGACCGTGGGCGAAACGAGATAGTAACATAACATGATTGTAAAATTGGTACAGCTTACGTACTTGCTTAACGGTCATACCCTTATACCATAACTAAAGCTTGATGAGTTCACCCCGAATCCATCCCTGATTCTACGTTAAGGTTCACAAGAGAATTTGTATCTGTCCGTTTTATATAGTTTAAAATTTACCACTAATATATTTTCTACTTATAAATATACTTATTAATATCATACTGTACGTATAAAAAATATTAATATAAATTTTATAAATAGTACATCCTAAAACGGTAACAAAAAATTGAACACAATTATTTTGTAAACTGTGAAATAATATATATTTTTAGTCTGAATATATAAAAAGAACATTCTTTGAAAGGACATAATAAAACCGAAGCCATTTACTCGCTGCGATTGCTTGCTTGAATATTTAATCAGTTGGCCAGTGATTTCACATAAGGTAGTTCACAGGTGTTAAATATTGTAAATTATTCACAAAATGTATTTCTGTGACGTTTTAGTTTTTATCCAATATCGTATCTTTCGCAGTTTGGTATTGAGGTTTACCATTGAAATAAGTACAGTATAGAAAGTCATTCAGCCCTTCAGGATGCCCGAAGGCTTTAGTTCACACTCAATTTTATGACCATTTTACAATCACCAAGATTTCTTAATATATCGTTGCACACTGTAAAATATCACACTGGTCACTGTTCTAATTCCAGTCTGACTCTTGCCTGGCGCTCTCCTCTTTCAAGAAGTTGTTTCATACATATAGTTATTGATGGAGTTCCTCCATATGTTGCACGAGCTCATTTTGTTTTGATTTTCTTCGCTGTTTTCTGTTCATCAATAGCTTTCCTTTTCTCCTGTAGTTTCTTCACCTACACAATGGGAACACAACAAACGTCATATATCATTCAAATCCTAATAGACCTTTTACATTATGTGACTGGAAAGCGTGGAAAAAAGTGGGACTAGTACACGGCCCTTGCAAGTGTTGACAACTTCTAGATGCTATTAAATCGCACATATTTTGGCTACCATCTTGGAGACCTAAGATCAGTCATCAGGAATAACTGTTCTCTTATTTACCTGTGATGCCTTTTTCCTCTTGGAATACTCAATTTTATCGAGCAATCTCTTGTTTTTCTTCGGCATAACCATCTTGGCGAGGTTTCTTTCTTCTTTTGTCATTGTTGCTGTCTCTGTCTTCGTCTCGGCATCGTCTGCTTCTGAAGAATATTAAAGAATGTCAGTGCTTAGAAAACTGTGGTCTTTGGCTTAGCGTTTCTTGAGTTCACATCAGGCTCTTGTCGACATCCAGAAGTCACAACTAAAAACATCCATTTCTCAGTATAGCTCTGTTTGCAGCGGAAACTTGGAAGAGAGAGAACCTGGTCTTGAAAATATATACCGGGTGTCCCAAAAAAAACTATACCCTCTTTGATTTCATGTAACGTAAAACCTATAAAAGCTATTTCACTAAAATAAAAACCATTGTATTCACAAATGATTAACTTAGATTTTAATATATAACATTTAATTTTCCGTGCGATATTGACAGAAATACAAGTGTTTGAAGTTACGAGGAGTTTTTGAAATTGGCGAAAAAACAACAAAAATCGCCGCATCAAACTAAATTGAAAGCAGTTGTCACTTTACATGGAATCTTTTTAACTTCAGTGATTTTATCTTTAATTTTGGATTATTCCCTTGCAAATTTACTTTAAAAATAAAAATTACGCTAGATTCTTTTGTACATAATTTCATAAAGGCATTCTTTTAGATAGAATAAAAATAATCAAAAACTAAATTGGAATTTGATATGCTGTTTTATGCTAATTTTTAACTTTTCAGAAATGTTAGTTCAACTTTGAAACGTCAATAGCTGTGTCAATATCGCACGAAAATGTAAATGTTATATATCAAAATCTAAGTTAATCCTTTGTGAATACAATGCTTTTTATTTTAGTGAAATAGCTGTAATAGGTTTTACGGTACATGAAATCAAACAGGGTATAGTTTTTTGGGGGACACCCGGTATATATCTTCCTGCCAGCAAAATTGAAATTACAGTTGCCTGTGTACGTGAAATATAAAACATCGTATGGTGCCTAACATTGTGATAATTTCAATCTTGGCACAAGACACTCTTGACTATAATTTTTTGAACAATTATAACTAATTTTAATTATTTGGCATTTCAGTATATAAGATGACAAAAATTTCCTACAAGGAAATTTGCCACCAAACACAAGTTGGGAATGAACGGATCATATCATTTTCACACATATCATTTAACACACCAACCTTCTTTCTCATCTTCTTCTATCGGCTCTTCTTCCATTTCCTCCAACATGGCTTGTCTTTCTGGGGGGATATAGTCCCCTTCCTCCTCCTTCACAAATGGCGAGAGGTGGGGAGGGAGGTCCACCCCTGGAAAATAATCTTCTACAGGTAGTAGCCGTCTGTAGTTGACACTATCTGCCATCCATTGTGGCTGAATGTAATACCTGTGAAATACAAAATGAGTTGTAAATGTGGATTGCACAGACTGGAGAGGACGTAAAATTGAGTACTGTACTTGGTGTTTCCTTGTTGGGGAATATGAGTGAAGCACAGTTATTAGCAATAAAAGCTGTCATTTGTAAAACTACCATTACTAAATTATCAATAATAAAATGGTACTTAATGCAAAGCCTACTGTGGGTGAAATAAAAGGGTAAGGCGTCCCCCAACTCCCTACCTTGATAAAAATCTGTGTCCCTGTAAAGGTCTGTCAACAATCTGATGCGTAATGGTTTCATCTGTTTCTTCAAAACTTGATCCCAAGGCCAGTGAACTTGGCCATGATACTTCTCCACCGAAACTCCTGAATCACAAAACGGAACAGTAAGCTTATTTAACTGCCTGCTATTAGCCTGCAATTGTGCGCACAATTCTCATCGTCACTTAGAAATTTATGTTTGGTGGTATATCATACTGTGTGACATGGTAAAATATTCCTACACTCAGTGAAATATACTCTCATCAGAAATTGTGTCCGGCTTGCCATCTGTCGCGGTCAAATTGCGTTTTACGTGCATTATGTATAGACAATTTAGCTTCGAAAGACGATGGCTGTTTCGTTTGATCCTTCATATTAATTGTGCATATACACCAGTAATAGTTACGTTATGTTCATGGCCAGTACCTTATAATGAATACCAAACTTTCCCTTGGAACTTCTCTTGATAAAAATATTTTGCATTCAGAAAACAGATTTAGTAATCTGTCCAGACTCTCTTGTTCGTTCTTCGCTTTTTGCGCTTGTTCATCCTCTGTCTGTGAAACAAATTCAGTAATGTTGGCACCAAGAAACGTTGGAGTCGATCGTTTGTTTCTTTTTCTACCTCGTAGTCTGAACATACTTTTCAGAAACCTGTACTTTATGAACCTTATTTTAATGACTAAGTACATGTTGAGTACTGAGTTTGTACTAGTGCAACGTACGCAGCAACAACCATTGGCGTACCAGTTACCCTGCTTTGTTGTTGCATGCATGACATAATGTGGCAAATGTGCGGTCTAATTTTCCATTTTGAGGAACGTTTAAAAAGGCAAATTCAGGATGCGAGGAACATTAAACACTTTTTTCCATGAGTGCTTGTCGTACCTCGGTTTCTAATGGAAATTCGTCTATCACTGGGTCATCGCCAGATTCTATAAAACAGAAAGAAAACATGTGCACAAAATGTCGGGCAATTGAAGAAGGATGTACTGGGGAAACTTCAGAAACCGGCAGGTTAAATAGTTTTTATCAGTTGAAAAGGGATGAAGTGTCAATTGATGATGAAGTTCTTCAGTAATTGAGGACGTTAGAAGATCGGAAAGATATAATTATGCAAGTTTTCAAGGTTTTCAGCAAAAGTTCAACCCATCAAGTACCAGTGCTCTCCCCTTCATTAGTAAAACCATCTGGCGTTAGACCGAGTAAAATAACAAAGTAGGGCGCAATACAAGTTAATGGTTAACAATAATTCATTCAGTTTTGAAACCAGTGAAAGTACTTTCTAGTAAGAGTACATTGGAAGTTTTGAATTTGGAAGAAAAAATTAAGTGCCTGATCATGTTTTGTAACATTCTATACTTACCCTTAGGAACGGTTAGTAATGACCGACTCAACGCAGCCAAACCCTAAATGACCAAAATGAAGTACATGAAATTTAGTTGCTCCCATATATAACATTCTGCAGGGCATTTTATTAATTCACATTTTAAATCTTACTTCTGACTCCAGTTCAGATTCTTGACAGTATGAATTGTCATTGTCGGATGTGGTTTCTGTCGTGGTAAGCTGAAACAATTGAATAGGACCAGGCTTTTAGCCAAGGTGGCAAAACTGGCCATCCAAAAATAAAGTGGTTATGGCAGCCTATTTTCGGTAACGTCACACTTTAAATTAATTGTCATATATACTTTAGTGCCTTTTTAATCAAAAAGTGTGGAAATATAGCAATAGAGTAAAGAGCAGCTGATAACTATGAGGTACGTACTGTATTCAAGAAATATCACAGAGCTTGCCAGTTAACGTTTAAAGAAACCTTTTTCTAGCTGTCTACAAATAGTGGCTGTCTTAATTCAAAAGTGGCTGTTCCATAAGACAGTTGGAATGTTGTCCGGAATAGGTCAGACGCTCTCTGATCGTAATATTTTATTGAAACAACTGTGTTCAACTACTTGATTGTTAGCCTTTTTAGAAATTATAGTATATGCAATAAAAGTAATACTAAAACAAATTGCATGTGCCGTATGCAGTCACTGTTACCTTTGGGGGATAGTGTAAGTTGACCGTATTGAACAGTTTAAAGTTAACAAAACCAGTGAGTGTTGTATAAAATTCTATGAAAGTCAGCATTATCCTGAAGTCGACATCAGCAGGCATCTAGAACGATAAAATCATTTTTGTCATAACGAATCAAAATGAAATATTTTTGGTGTATCGACAAACCGAAACTTATATTGAGTGGTAATGCACCCTGATGTACCCTACTGTCTGTATTATTTTACCCTGTCTAACGGCTAATGCCAGACGATTTTACTCATCAAGATGTCAAGGGAAGAGTGCTCAGCCTGCCACTCAATGGGTTGATCAAAACTAGTAACAATGAAAAATCTTGTGCTTACATCTTGACAAAAAGAATGTGGTGTAATCCATGTAACTGGATGACCTGAAATTTCAGCTTGGTAATATATACCTTTGATTGAAAAGAACACCTAGAAAACATATTTTTCATTGATTAAATTTGTAATTTGTACTTTAATTAGCAATTAGAAAATTTGTTAAAGGGGAAGTCAAGTCCGTAATGTAAACAAACGGTTTGTTTACATTTTGAACTGCTGTATTTTTAAAAATATGATGTACTGTCTGAATATCTAACACTATTTTGGTTCGCTATGCTTCTAAATGAATATGAAATAGAGTTTATGTTCAGAAAAATTCGAAACATTCGAAATTTGGGCAATTTTCACATTAGAGGTCCTCACATTGTTATGAGCAGAACCGATGTGCAGAACGGACTTGACTTCCCCTTTAATAAAAACACATTATAAAAACAATGAAAGTAATTAATAAAATAGATTTTAGTTTTGTTGCATAATTACCTTTCTCAAGGACTTTGATGCTATTATGTAGTGTTGAAACTCAACTAAAACAAAGATTGACAGACTTTTACCATGGGAAATGTTAGTACAAAATAGTGAAAATACATTTTTGATAATGATTAACATTTACATAAAACTAACCATATAATCTTTTACAATTTTTCACAACTTTGCCCTGATAAAATAAGTATTTGAAAAGTTTATTTCAAAATTGTAGGTTACAATAGGAGGCTGTCAATTTTACTCATCAAGGGGAGAACAGTGGCACTCGATGGGTTAATTAAATAAAGTACTGTATCTATACATTACCTCTATTTTGTCTGTTTGTGGTAAACTTGAGAATAAAACTACCATAGATAAAGCATCATCTAGGTCGCGAATTGCATCAATGAAAGTAGGATACCTACAAGTTCATTTATTTATTTAAATCTGACTGGCTGGCCGACTAACAGGCCAATCCACTGACTGAATGAATGAGTACTTATTCTATACAAATGCACGATTTAGGGTGGCTTTATTATAGCACTCAGTTGTAACACTGTTACAAGTGTTACACAGTCTTAAACAATGCTACATATTCTTACATAGTGTTACACAGTGTTACATAGTGTTACACAGTGATACAGAGTGCTGACAGTGTTACATAGTGTTACACACACTAACCCCACCGTGTTACATAGTTTACATAGTGTTAAGGCGGATTTCCAGTCCTCGCACGAAGCTCCTCGTTGCGAGTGATGCATGAGCACTTTCATCCAATCACAATGCTAAATAGTTCATTTTAATTAGATGCAAGCACTTGCAGCGAGCTGCGAGGAGCTTCGTGCGAGGACTGGAAAACTGCCTTTACACACAATAACCCTAACCCCACCGTGTTACATAGTGTTACACACACTAACCCAAACCCCACCCCTAACCCTACCCCTAAATAAAGATAGTGTAACACTGTTACCCGAGTATATACCCGATAATACACCCTAAATCATGCATCATATGACTTATTCAAATATATTGTAGAAAAGTTTAAACCATACCTTTCTTTCACAATGTGATCAAGAGTGTACACAGGTTTATTCTCCTCTAGTTTTTCCGCTGTTCTTGGTTCTTCTTTGCCAATTGCTTTCTTTAATTTCTTCAAGAATGATTTAAACTCTCTAAACTTGTTCAACACAGGTTCATGTGCCAGCCATTGGATGTCTTTGATGTAGTAATATGTTCTGTTTGCACTACTACCTTTGTTTACTTTTTTCTTATTTTTTGGCTCGACTGGATAGATTCCTTTTAAGATGCACAAACGCCTGGCAAGTAAAACATTAATTATTCGTCCAGTGTTACTATGGGAGAAAACCGGCGTATCCTATAAATTCAAGGGTGATATTTGTCTATTTAACATACCTAAAGTCTGGCAAACTAAGCTGTAATTTATTGAGTGCTTGATTTCTGGCAATGTACAGAGTGGCCGCACCACTTTCTCCCTATAATTGTGGTAGAAAGTAAAACATACTATTATGAGATAATTCAGATGAAATGCCACCCCTTAATTAAAATTATAAATAATTCTTTTACTTTTGGTGCTCATCCATAATTATCAATATTTTATCATGCTGGATGGGAGAGGGTGAATGATCACTGTATGCTGTTAAAAAAAAATGTGGTTGCCATAGAGTATTTTTATAAAACACAAAACAATGGACAGTTTGAAAGAATGAAAATGTTCACAATTTTCAGTGTGTCTATTGTTTTATGTTGTTTAAATTGAACTACAGACCTATCATGAGTCACCATTTTTGGAAATTAGCAAGGGTGGGTTGACTACAAACTTTTTGTAGTTCGCTATAACTACAGCTACTTCAAAAATATGTAGTCAGCTACAACTACTGCTACTTTTGAACAAAAATAGTTCGCTACTGACTACAGCTACTGCTTAAAAAATGTAGCGAACTATTTCTCTACTCAATATTTTTTAATTTTACTGTATTTGGAACATCTACTATAGCTCAGGCTGTAATGTAACCTATAACAAATCGACTTACGTGGGCATGCACTTGCACAGTTTGAACAGTTGCACGGTATACTTTATTGGTGCAAATTGAGTATTGATTTTAAGCAAACTGTGTCCTTAATAACATTCTATTCTATCAAGTTGCTAACAATTTAAAAAAGTAGCGAATAGCGATTTGCTGTTTGAAAAGTAGTCAACTACTTGGCTACTTTTAGGCAAAATGTAGTTCGCTATAACTACAGCTACTGTTTTGAAAAAGTAGTCAAAAACTACTGGCTACTTGAAAATTGTAGTTCGCTACAGTAGCGAACTACAACTACTTCGCTACTACCCACCCTTGGAAATTAGGGGGTTGGCCCTTGTGGGGTGAGAGAGTACTCCCTGAATCTCTGTAATGTGTGCTTGTGAAAATGTTGATATAAATTATGGATGATCCCTATTTATATACTATACTCAGCACTTTATCAACAGTTTGGAGCACAAAATAGAAATCTCTATTTTTGAGTGGCAAAGTTGCTACTGGTGGTTATGGGACGTTTTAATATATGACTACAGACACATAAAAAAATGCTCAGTAACTACTGAGTGTTTTAGAGCTCCCACAATCATCTCGCCCGCACTAGACCTACATAACTAACACCTGCAGTTACTAGATTACCTTCTTGCGTAATTTTCCCATCGCTTTCAAATATATTTTCTTCGATCCTGAATTTTTTTCGACAAAATAAAAATCTCACGTGTAAAAAGTAAAAAAATATTGTTTAAAACGAGCCCCATCAGCGGATTCCATGATTTGGGATACTTCATGTAGAAAGAAAGACTGGTAACTAAAAACAAATATGGCGGGTTTCTCAAATCCAAAATTTCTCGCTCCTTCGCATTTTACAAAACCAGACGAAAATATTGCAGCAAAAACTACAACAGATAGTGCAAAGCCTGTCCTTTTACCACCGTCAAGTTATGAAACAATTGGAACTAGTAGTAAACTGAAAAAAGATGGCGAAAAAGTCGCCTATAGTAACAAAAGTAGAAATTCTGACAAAATATTGGGGCAACGACATGACGAAAAGGAAAATGAACAAAATACTAACAGAGAAAAGTTTTTGAACAATGAATTGCAGAAGGCAAAACGGAAGATTTGCGAGCTGGAGCAAGAAAAAGCAAGTTTAGAAGATGATTTGCAAGACAGGCAAGCGCTGTCTGAAGTTGTCTGTCAGCTCAAGAAAGATTTGAAAAAGTCGAAAGAAAAGTTAAATGTAAAGGAGAAGTGTGTTTCAGGAAAAACTGAAGAATATTTGGACGTGATAAAGTGTTTAAGGTACTAATAATAATAAATGAAATAACATAATGTTAGCAGTTTATACCAGACTGCAAAGTTTGGAAATTGCGTGCCGGAGATTTCGAAAATTTAATAGTAAATATATAGAAAGCATAAAAAATGTGCGCGGAAAATCTTCTGTGCGTGGTGCAGAAAATGCAGTCTGGAGCAGTTACCCAGTGTGGAAAGTTTGCATCGTGCGGCCGAGATATTGCCCGCGCAATTTTGATGCTTTCTATATAATACGATTAAATTTTCGAAATCTCGGCCGTGCAATTTCCAAACTTTCCACTCAGGGCAGTTAACTAGTTAGCGCCCTGCCACTTTAAATAATATGCATGGTCCAATTCTTCATGTTACCATCCCCCTGGGCAACCCCCAGGGATTTGTGGAGTTTTTATTACCAAAACACGGATCCTTCCTTTCGCTTCGTCAAAACATTCAGGAATGCAACTCCACATTCCTAACATTGCGACATTGACACCATGGGAATGTTGACGTCTAATTGGTCCACAAGAAATTATATCGCCATAGCTAAAAATAGTTTCAGATTTTAACAAAAATAGGGGTAGGAATGTAGTCGCATTCCTGAATGTTTTTACACAAAAACATACATTTGTCAGGAGAGGGCAACATGCACAGTTTTGGTAATATTTTTAAAATGTCAATGTGCCCTAGTTACTGTATTATTTTAATCTGTCTAACATCAGATGATTTAACTTGTCAAGGAGAGAGCCCTGGCACACATTGCCAGGTTAATATATATTACCTATTTACAATTATAAAATGATAATTTTATTACTATTACACAATTGTCACAGCATAACCAAGTATTAAATAATAATCTCTAGGTCTGACTTACAAGAGGCTGAACACCAATATTCAAGTTTAAAACAAAGTTATTCAAAGTTGGTTGAGGATATCAGACTTGCAGATGAGACAAATGGTTATTTGAAACGAAAAATCGAGGCGAAGGATTTGGAATTTGAATGCATGGTTCACGTGAAAGAACAAGAAGTTCATGGTGCAGTTATGAAATTGAACGAGGTGTCGGTCGAGAGGGATTTAAAGGCTAACATGTTGATGCAAATTGATGAAAAGTATAAAATACTTGAAGAAAACAAGAAACAGGTCAGAGGTCATACATTGACAAAAAAGCTTGTTCCCAGTGGTGGTTGACAATGATACTGTACCCCCAAAACTTTCTAAATTTCCAGGCTTGGATTAGAGTGAGGTGTTTAATTGATAAACTGGAAAAAACTGATGTTTTTTGAAAACCTATTCAACCGATGTTGTTCTAGGGAAAAAAAACAGAAAAAAATAGGAAAAAACTGCTTGAAACTCAGTAATTATTGAAACAAAATAGCACCTTGTCAAAATAACAGCCTAGTTCAACGTTTTCTCACAAAACTTCCAACTTTCCAACATCAAAAACGTGAGAAATTGGAACACCTAAGTGACCTAACAGTGGCTTTATACTGCTTACATATTAAGGCAGTATGATACCATTAATACAATTGTTTTTAAAACTAAAGTCTGTGGCATGAGGTTTAATCCATGAACAACTGTATGTATATTTTGACGTTTGTGGAACAACTGTATGTATATTTTGACGTTTTCAAAAATTTTTTTATGTTTTTTGGGGTTTTTATCCTAGTTTGACATGCTGTTCTGTTTGTTTTGATAGGTTGATGATGAACATGAAAGGCTACTGAAGGATAAAGTGAAAATCAATGAGGAGTATAACAATTTAAAAGTGGATAAAGATAGGATTGAAGGGGACTTAAGTAGGATGAAAGAGGATAAACAAAAAATTCTAGGGGATTTTGAGAGGATGAAAGGGGATATGAATAGGATAGAACAGGATAGGATTAGAGTGGAGGAGGCAAACTGTAGGATTGAACAGGATAGAATTAGGATCGGAGAGGAAAAAAGCAGAATTATGAAGGGTAGTGAAAAAAGTGACGAAAACTTCAAAAGGATTGAAAGAAGATTTCTGGATGAACAAGAAAGATGCCTCAAATTGCAAAGTGAAATGCAACAGAAAGTTTTGATGATAAGTGAATTGAACGACAGGGTTAAAACGAAGCAAGAAGAACTGGGCAGACTTGAATTAGAGTGTAAGACTAGAGTTGAGGAGTTGGAAAAAGAATTTAAATTGAAATGTAGTCACCTGGAGGATGAGATGCATTCAAAAGATCAGCTTCTCCACAAGGAAACTCAAATATACCAAGGTAAAGTTTATACCAGAGAAAAATAAATTGACGTGCATTGCGACCCCTTTTATTATTTCAAGGCTTTGAAAATAAGCTGGCGGACGCCACGAAGTTCACAAATTCTGCTCTCCTTCCTCTACTCTAAGCATTCAAACAAAGTTATTTTTCCTCAACCTGGTCTACTTTATAGCCTGGTCATTTTCGAAAACGACGTACTATCTCGCGTAAAACTGATTTAGTTATTTGCCATCTTAAATCTTGAAGTTATCTTGTTGAAGAATGAAAGTAATGATACATTATAATTTTGTTGCAGAGCTCAGTTTTGTTGCTATCTTAATCAATATACACTTATGTCTACAGGGTGTATCATAAAAAACGGAGTCCTCGCTTCAAATATAAATTTCGAAACGAATATTAGAGTAAAACGTTCAGGTTTACATTTGTTTTAAAGCGTAGACATTCAGCTTTCCAACGATGGGTTGTTTCGTAAATTTAATCCAGTAGTTCGTGAATAATAGTATTTTAAGTGATTGCGATTGGAGAGTCAAAAATTTGAGATGCAATAACGAATCGGTACTTGATGAAAATAACTTATTTTGTCAACAAAACGTGCAAATTGAGGCATTTTGGCAATAGCTTGTAAAAACTAAGTAATAAAGGCTTCCAATACACTATTTTAAATTCACTTGCTGACTTCAAATGCGTTTATATTCCCAGCTGAAGCGTGTTTTGGCTTGCCGTCAACGTGCTAATTTATGTTTACATTGCGCCCGATTCGATGGCGTTAGTTCGGACGATGCATGGACATAAGATTGTTTTGATGATTTCTGGAAATAATTTAGGATTTTGAAATAAATAAAACAACCTAATCTCTTTTAGAATGTTTTTAACAAGTTTTTACTAGTTTTTTCTGATGCGGCAACAAGAACATTAAAGTTTGAACAAGAAAATTCAAACATTGTAACCGACTATGGAATATCATAGTAAATTTGTATAATTAAGCGGCATCTAAAAATTATAGGTTTTACTAAATTTTCTCCTGTACAGTTATTACTTGCACTAAAGACACGGATGACCATTTGTTCGAAAGATAAATGAGCAGACCTTAAAATAAGCCTAAAACCGTTTTATTAAATATAGCAGGCCGATAGTTATTAAGTACAAAAGATGGACTCCGTTTTT